CACTGAGGAAATTTCCCCAGCAGCAAAACACAAATTTGTATCTATGAATAATATTGAATGAATGTAGCAAAAGTCAGAGTAGCTTTTAATAAGCTCTTTATAAACAGGGGATCATGCTGCAGGTTATGCTTATAAAACACACAGCACTCCTACTGCACTTATTTTCAAAATCAGCATATTTTCAGCACACTTCTGGAATATTCTGAATGTTATGCCATACCAGTCAGTCCTTTATTATATGTAGTTTTGTTATAGATTACCTCAAGTATATATTTCCCCTGCTTCTTTTTACTTCTTTCATTATACTTCTTTGTTTCTTCTGTCTTCCAGTGTCTACTGCTGAGTAGTAGCACAGAGTAAGTACTCGAGTTAACAAAACAGTATTGAGTATCTTTTATGTGTACTCTTCTAGACAGGTTCTGTGAGGAAAAGCAAGTTCCTTCTTGCTTTCGAACTAGTGAAACTGTTAAGCTATTTGTGGCCAAAGGAAATCATTTTGTTGCAGTTGTCTTTCTTCTCCTTTTGTTCATCAGCTGGTTCTCTCTAATTCCTATCTTCTGTGTTGGAATGGCCCTGCCCTCCAGTTTATCAATGTTGAATGCAAATTATAATTAGTGTTCAACTACTCAAAGTTCAGAATCTATCAAAGTCTTTATCAGCTGTATTTCTAGGGTTCCATAGACTATTGCTTCTGATTTTATATGGCACCAATTCATTAAGAGAGGTCGTCAGTACTTCAGTTGTAAAAATTCCCATGACATCTGCTTGTTTCATGGGAATGGTTCCTTGCTATACAGTGTGATGGTGAGAGAAAAATGCACACTGTCTATGGTGTGCTGGAGCTGGCTTTCAGTGGCTTCTTAGAACCAATTATTAACATCTCTTTCCAACTCTGCACCCATTGATGTTACATTGTTGCTTAAAATTGGTCACTGTGAGAATATTTATACCACAGAAATTGTTAAGTGCTACTCGTCGATTCTATTTTTAAATATAGTTGTTAAGTGTTAATCTTAAGTGCTACTCCTCAATTCTTTTTTTAAATATAGTTGTTAAATGTTAACCAGTCCACCACTATTAGATGAAAACTATATGCTTCTGTATGCCTCCCTCTATTACACTATAATAAATGCCTCCTTGCCTGCAGCCACTTCTGGCTTTACTGGATGATCCATTGAAGTCTATTTTCATGTAGGCAATAAACAGGCCTTGTAAAACATAAACCCAAAACAAATGTAAGGGACAAGACATGGGCCTTGGCTTTAAGTTGTTAAATTACTGCCAAGCAGTTTGCGAAAATATCTTAAACAGAATTGAACTGAATTGAATGTGATCATAGTGTTCAGTTGTCTAATGTGATAAATATCTCTTCTTTCTGTATTACTTAAGAGAAAACAGTATAGATATACATTTTCAAAAATGTTTTGCCATCAATAAAGCATTACAAATTTTTGTCAATAAAAATGGCATTAAAAGGAACCGAAAATGCCAATAGAGTTGCAAACGAGGAATATTAGCTACCTTCAACTTTACCTAAAAAATCAAATTTCATAGAAAGAAGTAACGTATGCTAAAGAAAATTTCTCAGCTAGGAGTTATTTAACCAAAAAACATTGTTATGGTGGAAAATGTTGTTCCACTTTTTTTTAAAGGAAATGATTTTCCTGATACCCCCCACTGCCAACAACAGCAAAAAATATATAGTAGACACAGAATGAGAAAAAGCACAAGAATGAAAAAAAATAGTGCCTTTTTTATCTACATGATCTTGAGCCACAATTTGTCTGGGCCTGAGATTTTTAAATAAAAAGTAAATAAAATTAATGGACTAGATTAGTGACCCTAAGACATATTCCCATGGTGGGGAATGTGGTCCAATTGGGGAGGAAACAGTTGCATATTTAAATCACCCAGAAGCTTTATCTTTGACTTAGAGATTTTGGAAAATCTCTGCCCATCCTGATGTTCAGCATCCTTATCTTAGTGAGTCACTGTTAGTTTTGGGAGCTTTACTTCTCAGGTGGAAGAGGGCTGGTGAACAAACTGAGCATTGGTGAATCAGATGCTCTCCTATTGTTCTAGCTCTAACATCCTATAACAAATGCTTTTAGAAGAAAATTAATTTCTATTCATGGACTGCCAGTCCCTCAACAATTGTTACAGATCAATTCAGCAAGCAAGCAGCTATGCCATCCTTGAAAATAAATTACTATGCAAGTGAAATCAGATAACAGAAGGGAGTACAATTATTTATTTAGAAATGTATCTGAAGTTTAAATTTATCTCTTATTGACATACAACAATTCCATCAATAAATTTAAAACCTATAAATTATTCTGCAAATGCACATTTAACTTCCTATTTACATTTTAAAAGCATCACGTAACATGAGTGTCAATATTAGAAGCATTTGGCCCCTGAGATACTGCTTTAACTTATTCCCTTGCTGCAGAACTCCCAGTATTGTCATGACTGAATACTAACAGAGTCTGTATTATAAAAATACTTTACCCTAGCTATTTTCAAAATAAAATATGCTACATGAACATTAATGAAAAAAAGCTGAATATAATGAACAATGCAAAAAAGCTGACTTTTCAAACTTTTTTTAGTAATTGCTTTTTCTTTCCAGCGTGGTTTATTACACACACAAAAACGCACACATACAGTGGTGTGCCAATAAAAATTTAACAATGGGCTCTGCAGGGGGCAACAAAAACACCCTGATTTGTAGGGTCTGCCAATTTTCATGTTGTAAATCCTCCGTGGCTGATTTCATGCTGACAACACACCAACAATAAATGCATAGTTGGAAAGAGAGGTACAGAATTGGCCATCATGAGCTGGTAGAGTCAGCGCCAGCACATGGCTGCCCCAGAGCCTCTCCATCATGCACATAAATATATCATACAGAAATGCATCGTATAAAGTGTAGTATACATATGATTTCTCACAAAAGAGAAAGTCATACTACATGACTTATAACGAAGTCATGAATATTGTTCCTAGATTGAATCCACAATCATTTTAACTATAAATTCGTTTAGCCAGTCAACTATAGTTTAGGGCAATAATTTTTAATTGTTAAGGTAGTTGGAATAGTTAAAAAGTGGCTTAGCCTTCTCACTCAAGTAGAGTATAAGTTGCACATTTTAGAATTAATCACTAACACACTAAGCCAGCCTGAAAAAAAAATATGAATATGTATTTCCCAAAATGAATAAATCAAACACCTGAAAACTGCAAACCTTTATGTGCAGCATGAAAAAATGCCAATAGCAAGAATTTATATACTTGATGCTTGGCCTGTTTATCTTCATGGAGATTAATAGAGCGAATAAATATTTATAATAATGGTGTTAGAACATGCTGAATAGTATACTGTATTAAAGTTACATGATCTTGTCTTGAATTTTGTGTTTGGAATAGTACCAAGAAATATTCTGAGGGAGAAATTGAGTGGCAATTTTCAAATTAATAAATATTTGTTGAGCTACGACTGTGTGCAAGGCACAGCACCCAGGCACTACATGGGACACAAAGATAAATGCATACAGTCTTCTCAATGAAATTACAATCAATAAAGGATATAAGACAAGAGGTCAAATATTTAACGTACAGGAACTAGTAGGATCTATAGAAAGGAAAGATCCTATTCTTTGGGAAGATATAAAAAGTCTTTTGGGGTAAGGTGGTATGAAAAGGAAATGAAGTAATGATAACTTGAACTGAAGATGAATAGAATGGGTTCTACTAAAATTTGTCCCAGCCCAGCCTAAGGTGCTAGGTCACCCGTGGCTAAATTCTGTTATTTCTGCTGCTTAATGAGTACATGACAATATGTTCTGGTCATCATAGGAATTCTTAAAACAAGGAATCGTTCTGCCTCAGCAGGTGGCATCTTGAGGCTTTTGGATTCTGTCTTCTAGTTTTTTAATGAGCAACAGGCCGAACACGCGGATGAGTGTGAAGCAGCTTCTGTAGACTGTGTCAATCTGTACGCTAGGGTGAATGAGTAGAGATGGCAGTATGGAAAACAACTCCAGTGACTCCCTTAACCTTCTTTGAGGAAAGGAAAAACTTGGGATAAAACTGAGTGTTTTTTCAAGTCCCACTGGTGAGAAAAGCATGTCATAACCGAATTGCATCTGTTTGGGTATCATATTGGTTTGGGGTGTAAATTAGTTATTCAAAGAGTAGTATCTGTATGAATAATTGATTAATTATTTCATCCTACATCTTTTTTCCTAAAATAACTTAGGAAAACAACACCCTAATCAGTTTTTCTCAAAACTAGGCATTTGTAGCCCATATTTTTGCTAGCAGGAGTTGAATGTAGTTTTTTAAAGCTGAAAAAAAAAAAAAAAAAACCATCACATTTTCTAAAACTCTTTATAGTGAGAACATAGGTCTTAGGAAAAAACATATTAGCATTAATAAGCAAATTGTCTCAAGTCGTACTAAAGCACATTACTAGGATCAGTAAAAAATACATATGTACAATTGTGTGTTAGATTCTGTAGCTAGCAAACGAAAAATTTTCCAAGCTGACTTTAACTGGAGCCCATCTTGGTAGATGTTTCAACTATTGTCACATCAACCTTGAGAAGAGTTCAAACACTAAGAATGAATGAGGGAAGAGGTTGTGGCTGAAAGGATTCCTGACCTCCACATTGACTTGATGGTCAAAAGGGCATTATGGCTCTGAATTTTGATGAGGCGCATTTACCCTTTAGCCCATGTTAACATTTTCTTCAGGATTCATTACTATCTTAAAATGATTGATGAAAAAGTTTTTGTGCTGGACCATTACAATCAGAATAATCAGAATAAATGCCACACTGAATATCAAAAGAAATAAAACTAAAATCATTATAAGGAAACAACCATGTGATATTTTTCCATCTGCTCTTCAAGCAATGTTATTTGTTGCAACCCCTACAAAAGGTCAAGAAATTACACAAGTACTAGTTTATTGGTTATTCACAGAGAGTGAGTACCTGAAGGAGAAGGCTGTCCTTTTACTACGCCATTTTTAGTCTTCTCTTCTGAGTTCATTACTTCCTTGTAGATAAGTTCTGTAAGAAACAATTAGCTGCGTTATTATAGAAAACAAATTTCTCCTTCATCCACAGGGAAATTCATTACTTAATGGCAAGTAATACTGTTTTGATAAGGTTGAGTAAATTAAAAATCAATTGAGATTCCTTTACTGCTCTATTTCTATTTCTATATTGCCTTGTAATTAGCAGAGAGCTTGGCACAAATAGGTATCCAATAAAGCAGCTGAAGAAATCAATGCATGAAAATTTATTTCTATGTACATGAAACATACTATTTATTTCTCTCTATATATACACTATTTCTACATACATTTCTACATAAATAACATTTATGTCTACATACATGAAACATTACTACATACATGAAATAAGAAACACATGTTTTACTTGTTTTCTGAACTCTTTGGGGTAACCACTAATACATTCAAGCTTCATCTAGTAACAATTTTTATGGCTTTGAACATCCATTTTTCTTTTATACTCACTTCCTATGAAATGCACATATTCTCATGACTTTAAATTTTTTCCAATCTTTACAACTTTCATCTCTTACTGCATCTGTTTTTTTTTTCCACACTCATATCTTGGACTTGTAAATCTAAACTTGCCAAAAACCAAACACATTAAAAAATTTGGTTCATTTACTCTCAGACTGGCATCCATTTTTGGCTTTCTGAATGCTAGAGTTAAATTGGAGAGTTGCAGTTCTGTTTACTTTGTCCCTTTTAGATAAAAATCATTCAGCTCTACTCATTCTTGCTTTGCAATGGCTTATAATCTGTATAATCATCACCTTTTACAGGTACTTCTTTCTCCCAATTTCTCACAATTTAGTCCATGTCCTCCTCAAATATGGTTATATCCTATCACCCACCTATTCATGAGCTCCTAAGGAGTGTCTTTCTGTCCTTACTTGGATGAAAGCAAGCCTTTTTCATCTACACCCAGCGTCTTTTTTCACTTGATCTGCTTTATGTATATGTTCATTTTTCCATATTCACCAACATGACCTTGGAATCTCTTGACCAGTGGAATCTCTTTAGTATCTTTTAAATTTTTTTTATTTTACATATATATAGAGACGGAGACTTCCTCTGTCACCCAGGCTTGAGTACAATGGCACAATCAGGGCTCACTGCAGCCTCAACTTCCTGGATTCAAGTGATCCTCCCACCTCAGTCTCCCGAGTAGGTGGGACTACAGGTGTGTGCCACTATGCCCGGCTAATTTTTGTATGTTTCTGGTAGAGTCAGGGTCTCCCTATGTTGTCTAGGTTGGTTCTGAACTCCCGGGCTCAAGTGATCCCCCAGCCTCAGCCTCCCAAACTGCTGGGATTACAGGTGTGAGTCATCACTCCTGGCCGGGTTTAGTATCTTTGTAACGTTTTCTGCTTATTCCTATCCTTTGTTTTCCTCTTAGTCCTGTATCTGATCTTTTCTAAATATTTTTCTTTTCCTAATTTACACTTATTAATTCCTGCAAGGTAACTCAAGCGTTCCTTCCCTTCAGCTCTTCCCATTTTGATCTGACCATTTGTTACAATCTGCATTTGACTTTCCCATATTTTTCTATTCTGTAGTGATTCAGATTAGTTTAACAGTTCTTTTTAAGTCAATTGTTTTTCTGCTTTGTTTTACTCTGAGTATAATCTTAAAAATGCAGTATGTGTTTGGAAAAGTTTTGCTGAAAAATGAATTAATGCATTCATTCATTCTAATTTTTATATTAAAGAAAAAAACAGGCTACTTCGATACACATATTTTCTATTTAAATTCTCAAGTCTTATCAGTCCAATGAGTAAACTCATATATTAACTATATTTTATTTTCTAAAGTCTAATACCATCTTAGAATTAATTTTAATTTCATGTTTCATATGATGATTTTATGTACAAACATAGAAAGTTTTATTCTGGAATTCTGAACTAAAGCTTGCCCCCCACCATGACAAACACTGACAATCAGTACCATTTTAAAAGGTATCAGTGGTAAATGCCTTTCATTCTTGAGCAAATACAACATTGCTTTTGGCATAAAAAGACAGATGAAGTTTTAGGAGATTTAAAAATGGTCTAAGAGAATAGCAATCAGCAAATCATCTTTTAGTAAATTGTTTTTACAAGCAAAGCCTTGGTGATACTTTCTGAGTTCGATAAAATAAAAAGTATACATTTTTAAATAGTAGAGTTACCTTTCCATTCTTCGATTGTGTGTTCTCTTTCATCCAACTGCTTGTCATATATCTGAGGTGGAGGCTGCCGAATAAAAACAAATAATAATCTTTGTGCAATAATGTAAACATGACTAAACTCTTACAATGCATGACAATACCTTGCACTCATTTATTTTGGTGATTAGAACCGTATATAAATTACGAAGTAATTACAGTAGTTCAGAAGTTAAAATTTTCCCGTAAACTTATGGGGGATTCATTCATATTGCAATATTTGCTGATTGTTGCAATATTTGCAGCAGAACCCAAATCCTGAGAGCTCACTTTCTGACATCTTCTGATTTAGAACCCACGCCTAAGCAATTAATGACTGGTCTTTTAAAAAGCAGACAAAACACTTGATTACAATGGCCCAGAAGCTTCATTCTCCTTCATTCACTTGCCTTAGAAGAGAACCATGCTAAAATCCTTCTAGGCTAGTAAGATTGTGTTCTATTTTTAGACCTTCCCTGAAGAAAAGTTTATAATATTTCTCAACAGACCATAGTACTAGCCCTCAATACAAAAAAAAAAAATTGAGACCCAATCAACCTTTTTATTTTTCATGAAATATCATAGAATACGTGTTTATATTGCTATGTGCCCTATACTTAAATGATTTTAAGCTTTTTGTTTATTTTATCCTGAAGAAACTGCCAGTTGACTGTAGAGGTGGGTCACCTTGAATCCCTGAATGGCCCTTGGTTAGTCCTCTCTAGTAGACATGATGCGATAGGGCCTTCAGTCTGACTTACAGAGCCAGCATTTCTCTTCCCATGTGGAGTTCAAATGTAGAAAAGGAGGGATTTTCACAAACCTATGTGCCTACCAGGAAGTAGAATCTCAAATAAATTCTCTGACCTCTTCTTCCTGATATTTAGACTTTAGGAGATCTATCATGGTGGCTAGGGTAGCTCCAATTCAGGACAAGTGACATGGAAAGAAAAAAAATAAAAAGGCTCTTGGAAAACTAAACCACCATGGGGTAGAGAAAGACAAGGCTGAGGGGCTACACTGGTTGGCACCAGACTGAGCGCAAAGAAGAGCTATCAAGTTTTTGCTGCCCTGTCCAATACTCCAAAAGCAATAGTTTTTGTGAAAAACTAAAAGAGTCACTCAATAAGAGTGATGCAAGCCCTTTAGGACACAGACCTTTCGAAAATGGCTATTATAGTAAGGAAAGCGCTGGACAGGATTTTCAGAGACAGCTTCTGGCTTCTGTGAGAGCTTTTTGGTTCATGAGCAGCACCCTCGGGCTAAAGTGACCCTTCTCTAATTCATGCAAAATCTCTGGTAGCTTGAATCATGACAGACACAAATATTCACTCTAGGCCTGGCATGCTGGGGCCTCACATCCTGCAAAGTATCTGGCTATGAAAATAGAAGACTTGGCACAACTGTGGTGAAGTAACTTAGCATAATACTGAGGTATTGAGAAATAACTACTCACGGAGCCAGACATTGTTTTAGCACATTTGACTGTTACTGGGGCAGAAGGCTGTAAACCTCACCTACTGCAATTCAGAAGTGGCTGGCTGAGCAGCTCTCAGCAGCTGTCAGCACTGACAACTAAGCAAAATGAGACTCTCACACCACCCCAGACAATAGTAAGAACACAACACATTGACCGTATATAGGTGACAGGACTGGGATAGTTAGGCACTGCTCTCAGGACCTGACTGAGGTAGAACCTTCCACCTCTATCAAGAACTCTCAAATAATAGAAACATTCTGACTTAGTGAGTGAATGAGTAAAATGAAGTTATTTTTGAAAAATTGTGAAACCATTACCTAAGGAAGCTACCACAAAGCCAAGTCTGGTTTTGTGAAGATGCTTTGCCAAGTGGTAAATTTCCGCCTTTGTCTCTTCCTGAGCATGTGTAATGCTGTGGTTAGGCCCCCATCCAAGTGGCCTTGTCCAGGACCCCTGCAGGACTCAGTGTACGTAAGCTCTCAGAGCCCCCAGAGCCCTCTGAGCTGTTGGCACCTCCTTCTTCTTCTAACAATAGATCCAGCTCATGATCCTGCCTGGCTGGCTTCTCCATGCAGTGGATTTTTCCATTCAAGTTTTAAAATTGAACATGGCTCAAGAGTACAGTTCCTGCCAAAGTTCATAAATGCCATTTTCTTTTTGCAACAAAGCTATTTTGAGGCGGTTTCCCTAGGAGCCTCAGTGTACAGCTGTTGCTGATATAAAAAGTACAAAGTACACAGACGCTAATCACAAACCAACTGCAAGAGAGAAAGCAAAGTGCTGAGTTCAAGATTTTTCCTTTCAACAAACCAAGAGGGCTGCTTTAAACACACTTGAATTTATAGTATTTGTTCGACGGCCTCTGCAAATTTACTACATATTCAGATTTTTGTTTGTTTGTTGTTTTTTGAAGAGGAAATGCAAATGTCACCTCCAGTGAAAGGGCACATGCACATACAGGTGTCTTCTATGTAACAGTATAGAAGAATAATTGACCAATAATCCAAAGACAGCAATGTTACAACACACACACATGTAAGTGCTTGGCAGCAATCATCAGGATGAGATAGTCCGAAACATTCCCTGCCTCCTTCTGCTAAAGAGAAGTTGGTATTTGAGCACTCGCTTATGCTCTTTCCCCACCTTATTTAATAGGAATTATTCTCTTGCTAAGTGACAGTCTAAATAAAAAATAAATGAGGAGTGGGGATAAAGAAAAATGCCCCAGAGATGTCTGTTGAGAGAGTATTTTAGGAGAGTTTAGCAGATAAGAATAATTTGAGATGTGAGAAATGAAGGATAAGAGGAAGTTAAGGATAGTATATGGAGAGTTATCAGGACCTGTGACTTTCACCCTTTGAATATTTTTTCAAAAGACTGTAAACATCTTTCCTAATATTTTGGGAGATTTGGACTTTACTTCCTTGGTTGAAATTACTGCAGAAATTGAAATGCAAATTTATATGGATTGCATAAACAATAACTTAAAATGGATTAGACATATTTCTATTGATGGTTAATTTTATATGAATTTATATTGGTGGTCAATTATATGAATTTTATACTGATGAAACATGTCCAAATTGTTTCAATTAAATGAGGAAGAAACACAAACAAGTACATGGTCACTGTGAATTAATAAATACTAGAATTTATTTATTTCTTTATTAAATGTATTCATTCAGTAAAGGTCTTGGACACCTAACACATGGCAGACTATATAAAAAACTGAGATTTCAAAACTGAATAATGTGATTGCTGACCACAAGGAGTTCACAATTTACTGGGGTAAGACTGATGCAAAACGGATCGTTAGCATACAACATGATAAATGATAGAAACATGTATATGGTCTAAGGGAACAGAGTGGAGAAGTCCTGACAAAGCCTGGATTTTATTTCCTGGAGTGATGCTTATTCAGTGAGCGAAAGATGTGTGGGAGGTTGTCAAGATAAAATAAGGAGGACAAAAGGTGACTCTATGGCAAGAGCACATTATAAGCCAAGTCACAGTATGTAGGAAACAGAATAAGGGTGGTGGTGGTGGTGGCAGTGGTGGTGGTGGTGCATGTGCTTCTCTGTGTGTACATGCATGCCAAGAAAACAAGAAGGAATTTTGTCACAGTAAAATAAAACATGTGGTGAGAAGTGACAAGATATAAGAGCTGTACCTAGAGAAGCAGAAGGGTCAGACAAAGGGTGAATCAAGGATGATCCAGGGGGCCAGGCACTGTGGCTCATGCCTGTAATCCCAGCACTTTGGGAGGCCGAGGTGGGTGGATTATTTGAATTCAGGAGTTCGAGACCAACCTGGCCAACATGGTGAAACCTCACCTCTACTAAAGATACAAAAATTAGCTGGGCATGGTGGCAGGCACCTGCAATCCCTGCTACTCGGAAGGCTGAGGCAAGAGACTCACTTGAACCCGGGAGGTGAAGGTTGCAGTGAGCCGAGATTGTGCCACTACACTCCAGCCTGGGTGACAGAGCGAGACTCTGTAAAAAAAAAAAAAAAAAAAAAAAAAAGATCCAGGGTGTCATGATATGGAAGAAAGAAGAAGAGAAATCACTGAAGAGTGTAAGAGAACGGCCCGGTCAAATTTACAGCTGGATTGAAGAAAGATGCAACTGTAAGCAGGGAGAAGAGGTAGGGAGCCATTGCATGATCTATAAAAAATATTAAAAGTTCTGACTGTGGTGAAAAAAAAAAAAAAGAGGGTGAATGAAAAATACAGATTCAGGTATAATTAATAAATATTAATAAATAAACTTGGCAGAATTTGGTTTTTGATTGAATGCATGTGATGGGAGAGAAGAATATGAGTCCCCAGTTTCTAAGCTGAGTACCCGGGAAGATGATCATGTTGGTGAAGCCATGTAAAGAAATCGAGAATGGAAAAGTGGAAATGAGATTGGTAGAGAGGTGAGCCTAAGCATTATGTGAGAAGAGATGTTGATTTGAAAGTTAAGTATATAATCTGAAGTTCAGAGGAATGCTGTTCAATAGAGATGTATAGATTTGAGACTACCAGCAAGAGATGTTTGTTGAAACTATGACAGTGGATGAGGTCACCCAGGGAAGATATGTGGATATAGAAAGTAAATGGTCAAATCAAGGTTTAAAGATTGGACAAAGAAAGATAAGTTCACTAAGGAAAAAGAGAACAGCTAGAGAAATACATGAAAAATGAGAATATTGCAATGTTATAGAAGTCAAGCGAGTAGAATTTCACAAAAAGTAAGTAATTGGTTGTTTCTTGCAAATGAAGCACATAAAGATTTTGACTCTCAGGGCACCAGCAATGTATAATAGAAAGCAAGCCTCTGAACCCTTTGAAAGCTTTCCAAACTTTAAATTGCTATCACCCCCAGAAAGATCCAGATAGATCTTCGACGGAGACATCACCTAAACAATTGAAAAAATGTAGAAAAAGATTTTCAACACCAATATAGCTAAAAGGAAAGAAACTATAGAACAATTGTGACACTAGAAAAAGTATAATGATCTCAGAACTACTCTCCCAAGTCTCTTTGAGAACTTAATAAAAGAAAAACACTGTCCTCTATCTA